TAAGCTCATTTTTTGTCGTAATCACTGACAGAACAACTGAGATCTTTTTAGCTAAGTTTGAATTTATAAGTTTGAAACAATTTTACAGTAATATACTACCCAGGGGATCACGGTTCAATGTTTGTCTTAGCGGAAGTTCAATAACAGCGACAACTATTGGACTAGGGGGGAGGGGGTGGGGTGATAGAGCGCAGATAATGATACCGGAAGTAAGAGTATTTTCGAGTGGTCACCCCTCCCCTACACGTGGTGTTTTGTCGTATGTCAGCGAGATTGTGATTTCTGATTCGTGATTCAGAAAACAGAAATGCGATTTCTGATTCGGGAAACGGAAATCCAAAATCCTGCATTCTCTCCTTCAAACTTGTATTTTCGCCTATGCAATACACCTAGGCAGTGCCGAAAAGTAAGTTTTCTGATTTCTGAAACAGAAATCTAAAATAACACTTGTACAATTCCTGATTTCTGATTCCAATAATCAGGTTGGCCGCAAAGCATCCTGATTTTCCTATCTTTTTGGCTATAATCACGTAATCCGCCAATAATCGAATTAAAGGAGCAACAAACTTCCATGGGAATAAAGTTTTGCAAATCATAACGTGGATAAAAGCGATAATGACTGAAGAATGGATGCTGTTTGCGGCGTTAATTATACAATAGAATTGCGGCAATTTAATTTCATATGTCAGTCATCTATCAAAGTCTCCGATGAACTTAGTTTTTGTATTGTAATCAAATTCTCACTCGAAAAAAGTCAAAACGGGGGTAATCATTTTTCGATTTCTCTTGAAAAATCAAAAAGACAACAACAACAACAAAAAAAAAAAAAACTTTTTTCCCCTCTGAAATTGAAAAGAAAAAGACTTTATTTTTAAATTGCAAAAACTAAATCTGTCGCGTTACACATTTCAGCCCTGCCGCTCAGTCACTAAATAATTGTAAACAGAAGTTCCCGGGCATAAATTGTTGTTAAATTCTAGGTAAAATCAAATGTAAAAACGAAATTCTTGCGGTATTCGTTATTGGTATATTACATTGAACTTGTATGCTGATGATATTTTATGATATTTTGCCAAATTAAGATTTAAAAATCCAAAGAGTTATGCAAATTTGTCAATCGCTTTGATTTGGCCGACCGTCTGAGTTCTTCAAAATTTCTGTAACTTTAGAATTTTATTTCTCGTCGCAGAACAAAAAACCCCCAAAAATGCCTTCACTCACGATTAGAACATTATTTTAGCTTTTCAATTTCTTAATATCAACGTTTTATTTTATTTAGCACACGGAGAAATTATTTTTTGAAAATTCCTCATTTTTGACGCGRAGTCAAAGTACCCTGGTGAATAAATATTTTTCGCCACTATGAATTTATTTGAAGACAGTGAAATTTCATTTTTTAAATGTTAAAACACTATTCCAAATAATTTCCAAAGATTGAGCCTGTAGATATTTTTGCAAAGGCRCGCGAGGCCCCCAAAGTTGGAGTATATTTTGACTCTCTCAGAGGGTCAATTATGCACGAATTCGTTTTTCTCGTTTTTCTCGGAAATAAAGCGATATTTTGGCAAATGAAGTATACCACGGTTTATATTGCCTCAAGGTCTTCCTAATGCCAAAATATGAACGAATTCGATTTTTCGGCTGTTGCCGGCGTATGGTCGATTTTCGCTGACATCCTCTCTTAAAAATTCGTCCGGTGGGTGTGAAGCCAACCTATGCGTCCAGGTTTTGCTTTAGATTTATTACTGAGTTTTAGTATTCCTTACATTTTCAGATTCCCCGGACATCTCAACGACACTAATGGATTTAACATGATGCCAAGGATTGGTCCGCAGTGTGCTCTAGATCT